CCTTCCCACAGGCCTTACTTTGCCAGCCCCTGTACTGGACTATCACTAAATCTCCTCCCAGGTCCACCTGCCTCCTTCCTTCACCCTCCTCCTATCCTTTCCCTACAAATCAGGCAGGGTGGTCTTTCAAGCTGTAAAACCAAATTACATCACTCTCTTGCATAAACCACCCCATGGCTTTTAGCCCTAGAATAAAATCCAAAGCCCTCTGTGGCCCCTGCCAGCATTTCCAGCCCCTTCTCGAGACCTTCTCCATCTTCTTCACTAGGTTCCAGCTGCACTGGCTTTCTTTCCAGTTCCCTGGATACTCCAAGCTCTTTTCTGCAGAAGCGGCTTCACACAGCTTCCTCTTCCTGCCTGGAATGGTCTTTACTGCCTTCTCTGTGTGGCTAGTTATTCTTAGCCTTCACGTATCCTCTTTGGAGGGGCCTTCCATGCAGAAATTCTGCCCTCTTCTCCATTTCCAGTAATGCCTATACAAGCACTGTTTCCCCATGACTGTCAGCACTCAACTGATCACATGACTTGCCAGTCCAGCGCTGGGGGGGGCGGGGGGGGAGTGTGCTCTCCAGGAGGGCGGGAACTACCTCTGCTCCATCCAGCACGCGGCATACAATAGGTACTTCGTGTCACTGAATGAATGACTGAGGGAGTGGGTACGTAAGGGATTCTTTCCTGGAAGCAAGAGGATACTCTTCATTCTAGGGAGTGTCTGGTGACAGCTGCTGTGTCCCATGTCTTATCCTGAGCCTGGCAAGACAGCAGGGAGCTGTCGAAGATGTTGGGTCTGCACCCAGGAAGACATCCACGTGAATGCTATAAACTGTGGACAGCACGAGTCCTGGGAGGGAAACGTCAGGGGAGTGTGGGCTGCCTCACGGCACAGGGGCTGGGGTCCCGGGAAACAGGTGCCTTTCCTTGACACCCACACAGATACTGACACTGTAATGCACCTTCCAAAGAGTGAGCCCGCTTTCCCAATGGAAGGTCGCAAAGTTCTTAGGGAGGTCGAGAGGGGCTATAAATGTCGCAAGTGTGAATTAGCTACTGTGACCCATAGCCACAGTCATATTTTTTCAACTGCAACACAAAAATCAGGCTTTTTTTTTTTTCCAGTTAAGATAAAAAACAAAACAAAACAAAACAAACCAACAGCCCTCGAAGTTAAGCCCTGGACGTCATCACTGCCAGGTCACATTGCACACCTCTCCGCTGCTCCCACTCTAGATGCCTGCTTTTCCTTTGGAGGCTTCAGGCTTTAGGAACCTAAGACAGCTTCCCTGGGGAAGTAGCACTTGAACTTACCAGTGGAGGAGATGGGGGCAGGCATATCAACTAGGAAACAGCATGATCTCTTCCATAAGAAATCCCACTTTGGGGGATGATGAGCCCTCAATTCAAGACCTGGCTGGAAAGCAGTGTAAACACTTTATAGAGCTTTTGTGCAGTGATGAGCACATTTGAATCCCAGTCTCACTCGAGGGCTGGATCTCAAGTTCCCAGGAGACAGGCTTGAGTACCTGGGCTGGGAAAAGGGGCCAAGGGCAGTGCCTTATTGGAGAGCAATGCTGGAGGCCCAAGAGGAGAGAGAGGAGCTCATGCAGGAGAATGAGGAGGGCATTTGGAGAAGCTGGAGTGGAACTAGCCTACTGTTTTAAGGAGAGGGCGGTTTGCTGGGTCAAATCCTACAGAGGTCAAGTAAGATAAGGACAGGAACAAAGCCCCTGGAGGGCATTGGTGACTTTGGTGATAGCAAAATTGCCACTGGATGGGGAGTTGGGGGAGAAAGCCAGTTGGGGGGAGGTGCCAGCTGAGGAGGCAGAGACGGTGTCTCTGACTGTCATCGCCTTGTTTTCCTATGATGTGTCCCTGTTTCTGCAGGGAGCCCTGGACTGGAGTCTGGGTTCCAGTCCTGTCTGGGCTCCTGGCTGCTCTGATGATGTTAGATGGCCAAGGTCTCTTCCATTTTCTATGCTCCGTTGTTCTAGGGAGGCTGGGAGTGAATGGCATTGTGCAGACGGACCGCTTATGACATGGTGCAGAGCAAGGATAAACATTTGTTGCCCACAGGAAGCTGTGAGCTGTCACTTCAGGTGGAAGGCCGTCTGGGATGAGGGGTCTAGCTCCCAGCACATTATCAGGGCAGGTGGTGGGATGGGAAAAGGGCTCTGCTTTGATCTCCAAGATGACCCACACCGTAGGAGGTGAGGCTTGTCAGGAGTGTCTAAGTTAACTCACAGGTCGGACAAGTCAGGAAAGAGACTCTGAGGACCGAGTGGGAGATCAAGGTTGAGGGTTTGAGGTCTGTGGAGGGAGCAGGTGTGGGATGAGATAGGGCAGTGAGAGGCAGCAGTAAGGAAGAGGGCAGAAAGAAGGCCAGACTTGCTCTGCTCACCCAGACCTCGAAGAGTAGTCTAACTGGGCCAGTCCCTTTTGGGGAGCCCAGTGTACTAACATCTCAGCTTACAGAACAGATGAGTGAAGGGCTGGTCTAGAAGCAGGATATTACATGCCCTGTATTACATTTTGATTGTCCATGATTTCCTGAGACCTGGTCAGTTCTAGCAAATGACAACCCACCGCAGCCTTGGAACCTGACTAGCCGATGGGCATCCCAAGGATCCCTGTCAGAGAAGATGCAGAAGAATTCTGAACAAGCCACTGAGAAGAAACTTTTTAGATAAAGCCAGAGGCTAAATATATTTACAAGAGTAAAATCATGTTCTAACCTTTTCGAAGCCAACTGCCATCATGTATATTTAAATAAATATTTAAATTAATGTGTGTAAACCTAGAAGTTCTAGACATAGCCAGTTCTCTTTGGATTATTCTCTTTGCCTTTATAAATAAAGGTGTGTGAGCCTCATAATTTTGGAAGATACCTTAACATTGCCTGAAGACAATGTTTATTCATGAGTACTGTTGCATCCGGGGTAATAGCATATAAAAGGAGTGATCATTTTGTGAGCTTTCTTTCCAAGCTTTTGTGAGCTTTTTTTTCCATGGCTCACTTTCTTCCAAGGTCTTCCCAATGGTGTGGCTCCTTATTGCACTGAAAACCCCTGCTCTCTCCTTTAATGCCCCCCTCAAATTTGCTTCCTCGACCAGGCTTGTTCTTTGCTTTCCCCATCACTGCCAGAATAAATCATATCCCTCTCAGGGTGCCTGGATGACTCAGTCGGTCTAGTGTCTGACTCTTGGAGCCTCCAGCCTGTATCATGATTCATGGCATGAGTTCAGCCCCACCACGCGTGAGCCTGCCTGGGATTCTCTCTCCCCCCCCCCGCCCCTCCCCCACTCGGTCTCTCTGTCTCTCTCTCAAAATAAATAAATAAAAAAAGACGCCTCGGGCGCTTGGGCATGGACGTCACAGCTACCAGCCAGGTCAACATCTCATGGTCTCAGAGTTCGAGCCCCGCCGGGCTTGGCTGATGGCTCAGAGCCTGGAGCCTGCTTCCCATTCTGTGTCTCTCCCCTCTCTCTCTCTCTGCCCTCCCCGTTTCATGCTCTGTCTTCTCTGTCCTAAAATAAATAAATGTTAAAAAAAAAAAAATTAAAAAAAAAAAAAGACGCTCTCTCCTTCTCCCTCTGCCCCCCTGTTCATGTGTGCTCTCTCTAAAATAAATAAAATAAAATAAAATAAAATAAAGTAAAATAAAATAAATCATATCCCTCTGTTGTATCTCTGTGTGTCCCCACGTTTTGTCCCGTGTTAGGGAAAACTGCTTGCACGTTGTCCTCTCTGTGAGGCCAGAAGTTCCCTGAGGTCACGGACTTTGCTGTGTTCACCAATGTTAAACTTCCTTGAACATACCAAATGCTCAGGACATATTTAATCACCAAATGAATGATTGAAAGAATGAATATTGGGTTGTCTAGACATTTGCTTTTCCAACCATGAGCTCACACAGGTAAGCACACAAGGCCCCAGATGTAGACACCCCGGGGAAGGATCTCTTTGTTAAAATCCACTTTCAATTTCTGTCTCCTTTTTAATAGAGTCATTGCACGATTTACCAGGCCGAATGGAACAAAGTCACGATGCACACCCGTTAGAGAGACATTTCCCTAACATTGTCAGGGAAGGAGGATCCTGGGTTTCAGAAGCCCAGAACGGGGAGGTCTTCTTTTGGTCTCAGCGAAAGATGCTTCTAGAAGCTGTGGCTTTGCTTATCTGGAGCCCTGGGCCTCGTTGGAATAAGTCAGTGGCAAGTTCACCGGTTCTGGGACGACCACTGGGTTTGCCATATAGACATTCGGGAGGACCACGCCCACCTGGAAAACACAGGCGCACAGGAGGGGCGCTGGGAGGGGTGCAAGAGGGACCAGGCAGGTGCGGAGGCCTTGAGGCCCTGGGAGACTTCTCTGCTCCTGGGCCGGAAGGGGAAGCATGGTGACCCTGGGGTCTCCGCCCCCTTCCGGGCGTCTTCCCTCCCACCCAGGAACCTCGGGACTCACGTTGTGCTGACAGCAGACCAGTTGGCAGCCCAGGTGGGAAGATGCACAGGCAATGCCGAACTCGAGGAGACAGAAAATGAGCAGCACGCCCGAAATCGCCACTCCGGGGGTCTGGAACCAGAGCGGGTAGAGGTCAGGAGTGCTGGCCGGGGCGTTCCAAATGTGGCTCTGCCGTGGACTGTCCCTGTGGCTTGGAGGAAGGCCCCTAACCTCGTCTCAGCCTTGTGGGGACAATGTCTCACCAGGCTCGTGTGAGGGTCAAGGGTGTGTGGACGAGACCTGGTCCTTTGACACCCACTGCCAGGGCTCCTCTAGGGGGAAGGGTAGTCATCCTTCAGGAAAACACCTGGATCACGTGAGCGGGGAGGGAGAGGAGCGGCGGCTGCGCAGACGCAGAGACAGCGTCTACGCAGACCACTCTGTAGCTGCAGTCAGTCACCAATCCGGCAGCCAAGAGCCCTGTAGCCACGAGTCCCGTGTGGCTGCTGAGCACTTGGGATGTGGCTGGTCCCAAAGTGACAGGTGCTCTAAGTGCAGAATACACCCAGGATTTATTTCAAAGACTGCGTAGCCCAAATGCAAAATAGCAAATTAATATATATATATTCATTTTGCACGGATTACATGTTGAAATGACATTTGGGATATATTGGGTTAAATAAAACATATTATTAAGATATTTTCACTTGTTTCGTTTTCTTCTTCTTTTTTCTTTTTTGTTTTTTTAAAATTTTTTTTAACGTTTATTTATTTTGAGACAGAGAGAGACAGAGCATGAACAGGGGAGGGTCAGAGAGAGAGGGAGACACAGAATCTGAAACAGGCTCCAGGCTCCGAGCTGTCAGCACAGAGCCCGACGCGGGGCTCGAACTCATGGACCGTGAGATCATGCCCTGAGCCGAAGTCGGACGATTAACTGACCGAGCCACCCAGGCACCACCTTCTTCTTTTTTCTTAAGGTGGCAACTAGATAATTTAAAATCACACACACAGCTCACATTATATTTCTACCGGGCAGCCCTGTTCCATAGCACAGGTTGGTCCATGGGCCAAATTACGATCCATGGGCCAACTCCTGGCAGCTGCCTACTTTTGTAGGTAAAGTTTTATCGGAACACAGCCATGCTCAATGCTTATGGATTTTCTATGGCTGCTTTCCCACTACAAGGCAGGGTTGAGTAGCTGCCGTGGAAACCAAATGGCTGGGACACCTGGGTGGCTCAGTCGGTTAAGCATCTGACTCTCGATTTTGGCTCAGGTCATGATCTCATAGTCGTGAGATCGAGCCCCACGTTGGGCCCTGTGCTGACAGCTGCAGCCTGCTTGGGTCTCCCTCTCTCTACAAACAAACAAACATTAAAAAAAAAAAAAGAAAAAAAAGAAACCAGATGGCTTGCAAAGCCTTAAGTATTTATTCTCTGGCCCTTCACAGAAAACCTTTGCTGACCCCTTGTCCACAGTCATGGGCAGCAAGGTGAGAACGTGAGCAAGGATTCAGGTAGAGGCACGTGTGTGTTATTGTCACATTTAATTCTCCTCATAATGTCATAAGGTAGATTACTCTGTTGTAAAGGCAGAAACTAAGACTGAGAAAAGTCATGTGCTTAAAGTAACACAACAGTAAAGCGACACGTCGGGGACTTTAAACATTCTTCTGATTCTTGATGGTACTTCCTTCTGCTGTAGTGCTGTGTGAAGAAGCTTGGTGTTTGGGCCTTCTAACAATTTTCTAAATGTAGCCGAGTCTGAACCTGTGGGGGGATGTTGGCTCAGAGGGGTACTCACCACACCCCAGGTATCATAGTAGGGATAAGAGTCAGGGCGGGCATAGATGGGAGGGAGACTCATATCCATGATGAAGAGTGTGATTCCAACCACAGAACAGATTGCGCTGACAATGTTCAAGCCCAAACTGCCATTCAGCTGAAGAAGACACAGAGGGTCAGGGTGGGAGAGGAAAATCATTGTAGCTGGGATGAACAGAGACTCGAGCTTCTTAACGTGAATCCCTGGAACCTCAGTTCTGTAGCAAGTAAAGTGATGATCTGTGCAAAAAAGTGTGGGCGTAAGTTAGCTTTGAGAAAAGCTGGGCTGAACAAAGTGAAACAGGCCTTCGCTGTAGGACTTCTCAGAGCCTTTAACGAGGATCACGGATCTTGCGGAGAGGGGACTAGTCAATCGCCGTTTCCTCGAGTTTACCTACCCATCTTCGACTTGCTTATCCCACTGGGGATAGGTAGGAAGCTCCGCCCAGTGTCTTGGGATGCGACAGGCTCTGATGTCCCATGATTCTGGGCCATGTGCAGAAAGACATGCCCGGATCTCATGAGGCGCAGGGACCTGGCCATCCTGAGGCCCCTCACCCTAGACGACCTGCCGCGAGGGGAACGAAGGCGCTTTCTCGGCCCATTGTTAGGGGACCTCGGAGTCTCGTTCATGGGATTGGCAGAGACCGCTTGGCCGGATTCCTGAGGGAAGCAGGTGGTTGGGCCTCCCCTGGCTTCCCTGTAGAGATGGCCAGAGGCCCGCTCTGTGCGCCACGGCCACTGGCAGTGTCCGCTCTGTTGCAGGGGAGCGTGGGCCCCCGGGACTTTTGTGCCCCCTCCGGCACGAGCCTCTGAGGGACGGATGCTGTTCTGTCTCTGCCTCCACACCCTGATGCCTTCACTCGGGGCTGTGTTGTCCTTCCTTCCCTTGAACCCTCTGGACTCCTTCCTGCCATGACTCTGGCCAGGTTCACGTGCTCCTGCGTGTGAGTATGAGTGAGCACATGTGACAGCGTCTGTGTCTGGTCAGAAGTAAGCTCAAGGAGGGGCGTCTGGGTGGCTCAGGCGGTTGAGTGTCTGACGTTTGGTTTCGGCTCAGGTCATGGCCTCACAGATGGAGCCCCACATCGGGCTCTGGGCTGGCGGTGTGGAGCCTGCTTGGGATTCTCTCTCTCTCTCCCTCTCTCTCTGCCCCTCCTCCCCCCACACACTCTCTCTCTCAAACTATGTAAATAAACTTAAAAAAAAAAAGCCTTATAAAAGGAAGTAAGTGAAGGAATGAGGGGCGATTGTGCGCTAACCTTTCCCCACCGTGTGTGTCTCCCATAGGTCCCGCTGGGAGAGCCCGGGTCAGGAGGTGACTTACCAGGTAAGAGGATTTTGGCTGATTTTCGGCTGACACTGAGAGGGATCCTGAAATGATGAACTGGCACAGAAGAGTGGGGGTTTAGAAAGAGGTCAGAGGTTAGGGCCCCATCTCCAGGTTTCCATGATTCTGGTCACACGTATTCTCTCATGCACACTAGGTTCCTCTGCTGGGACCCCCAACTCAACATGGGGGAAAGGAAGGAAGGATGGAAGGAAGGGCGGAAGGAAGGAAGGAAGGGAAGAAGGAGGGAAGGAAGGAAAGGAAGTAGAAGGAAGGGAAGAAAGAGGGAGGGAGGGAGGAAGAGGAAGAAAGAAAGAAAGAAAGAAAGAAAGAAAGAAAGAAAGAAAAGAAAAGAAAGAAAGAAAAAAAGGAAACAGGAAAGGAAAGGAAGGGAAGGGAAGGAAAAGGAAAGAAGAGAAAGAGGGGAGGGAGGGAGAGAGACAGGGAGGGTAAAAGGAAGGAAGAACAAGCTCTCTTGTACCATATGACAAGGCAGCAAAGTGAGATAAATACAGATTCTAGGACTGAGCTGACCTGGTTTTTCAGTTCTGGCTCGAAACTCATGTGATGTAGGTAAGTGATTAATTTCTTGAGGTCTTTATTTCCTCATACGAACAGCGGGAAAAACTACCTGTCCTCCTAAGGGTGACCGCCAGGAGCTGATCCATGCCTTGCGTGGGTCATTTGGCATTCATTATCTTACACGCAGTCGAGCTTGCACATAGGAGATGTGCAGGAAGTATTATTTCTTTCCTTGCCTTTTATTTGCCCACAGGCGCATCTTGTTGGTTTGTCATCCTTCCCTTGGGATTCGTTAGGCACGGGGGCTTTGGAGGGAAGGAGGAAGGTCACCAGCATCTTCACTGCTTTGAGCTAGAAGCCCAACGTCACCTGGGTGAGGACTCGAAAGGTAGCGTCGCACCTCTAAGATGCTCCACCTCAAATATGAAGACAGGGAGGTGGATTGTGTGCCTTTATTTCGACACTGGTATTCTGCAGGCGCGGTAGATGGTGGGCTTACTCACTGTCATGAGCCCAGTGTGGTGGCAACGGTGGTCTGAGAGGGCATTGGCTGTGGTTGAACAACAGCTTCGCCGAGCACTCACTGTGTGGGGTGCTTTACAAACCTTGTCTTACTTAACTGCACGGTGGCCCATCCAGAACTATTATTATTCTCTGTTTACAGATGGGCAGGCTGACGCTTGTGGAGTTTAAATAACTGACCCGAGACCATCCAGCAGATGGCTGGTCCAGATAGTTGAATCCAGACCCCATGTTCTTCGCCTTTACCACACAGACCCTCCCACCACTCAGGGTAGATGCGTGTATCTTGGGGTGGAAATGGTTTTACAATGAAAAGTTACTCTAGCTTCCTACGCCTTTTAAACGGAGTGTGATTTTTCCTATACGTGGAAAAATAAATCTCAGTCTTACAACCTTCTGTTATGGAGACTTGATGGGAAGGGAAGGGAACAAGAGGCTGGCCTTCTGAGGGCCTTGCTGGTCCTTTTAGGGTGCCAAAGGAAATGGGCCTTTGTTATGGGAGAGGACATTAGTGATCTTTAGGAAATACATAGTCCTGGACAAGGTAACCAAGAACAAAACTGCTTTGCAGATAAAAGGAGGGGGGCAGTCAAGAGAGTTTAGCAACCTGGCAGAAGGGGAGATGCCAGGGCAATTGCCAGGCACTTAAGATTATTCAATAGCTTTTTTTTTTTTCTCCTCCCCTCCCCCATGGTCTTCTGTTAAGTTTCTCAAGATCCACATGAGAGTGAAAACATATGGTATCTGTCTTTCTCTGTATGACTTCACTTAGCGTAACACTCCAGTTCCATCCACGTTGCTACAAAGGGCCAGATTTCATTCTTTCTCATTGCCAAGTAGTATTCCATTGTGTATATAAACCACAATTTCTTTATCCATTCATCAGTTGATGGACATTTAGGCTCTTTCCACAATTTGGCTACTGTTGAAAGTGCTGCTATAAACATTGGGGTACAAGTGCCCCTATGCATCAGCACTCCTGTATCCCTTGGCTGAAGTTAGAGAGGGAGAGAGCCAAACCATAAGGAGTCTTAAAAACTGAAAATAAACTGGGGGTTGACGGGGAGTGGGAGGGAGGGGATAGTGGGTGACGGGCATTGAGGAGGGCACCTGTTGGGATGAGCACTGGGTGTTGTATGGAAACCAATTTGACAATAAATTTCATATATAAAAAAAAGATTATTCAATAACATCCAATGCTTAAGAGCAAGCCATTCTTTGGCTGTGATGTCAGCCTCTCCATTGCCCCAAACTCCATTAAAATTGGTTGTACAGACACAGGGCTTGTGGTGGGGGGAGGAACAGGGGCTGAGTTCCAAGTCTGGGTCCATGCAAAGCAGAGAGAGGACTTCAGCCTCAAGAAATGAGACCCAGATGGAAACAAAAGAGAGCAGGTGCTCACAGAAAGATGCTCCCGAGAACATAAGCCCTACCATGTTGCAGGCGTTGTAGGGGGATTATGGTGGATGATAATACTAGGCTATTTTATTTAAATCTCATGGGATAAGAAGGACTTTGGTTAATTATCTAAAGTTACTTGGGAATTCTGCTATTGATGAGAAAAGTTGCATCTGAATCATAGGTGTGTGAGTCCAGAGACGGCAGGCTGTGTAACAGCAGAGAGAAAAAGGAGGTGGGAGGGAGGACGGGGAGAAGGGACGTGTGTGTGTGTGTGTGTGTGTGTGTAGCTAAGAGGACACTAGAGAGAATGCAAAAGAATCAAAAAGGCAGTAAAGTGGAGAAGATAAAGGACTTGTAGTTCTTAACTTTTATGGAGTCATAGATCACCCTGAGAATCTGATGAAAGCTATAGACCTTTCCAGAAAAAAAAAATACACACTCGCATATCAAATATTTCGCCACCGCGGGGACTCTGAAGCCCATCCGTGCACCTAGGTTGCGTCCCCATTGCTTAATGACCATTCTGTGGCTGGGTAGCCACTCTCAAACATGGGTGGAAATGTCTTTTCTCTTCGAGCTCAGGCTGGGGGCCTAAGTTGAGCAACACTCGAGGGCTATTACCAATACATTTTTTACACATGGGCATTGTTGTGTGAATTGGAAAAAGGTGCCAGCCCTGGGTTGATGAATAAGAAGAAAATTCGCTGACCCATGGCGTGAGCCAATTAGAAAAGGTGCCCACTCCAGGTGAACGGCGTCCTGTAGGGCTGTCACTTGGTGTTATGGCTGAATTGTGTCCCCTCAAAATTCACCTATTGAAGTCCTAACCCCCCTCCCAGTACCGCAGAATGTGACTATCTTTGGAGAGGGGACCTTTAAAGAGGTGACTAAGTTTCAGTGAGATCACTAGGGTGGCCCTAATCCAGTGTGACAGGGGTGTTCTTATGTGAGGAGGGGATTAGGGCACAGACACACTGAGGCCGCATGAAGACACGGGGAGAAGGCGGCCATCTGCACGCCAAGGAGAGAGACCTCAGAACAACCCTGCAGACGTCTCGATCTTGGCCTTCCAGCCTCCAGAACTGTGAGGTAACGCATTTCTGTTGTGGAAGCCACCTGGTCTGTGCCCATTGGTCACAGCAACCCGACCAACCGACATGCTTGGTAGGCGAGGCCTGAGCCAGATTCGCGCCCTGCTGGCTCCCTTGGCTGGGAAGCTGCTGCAGAGTGTAAGCCACACAGCTTGACAAGGTGGCCCCGGGTGTGCTGGCGCTTTCTGGGAGCTCATTTGCGGGGTGACCTCATGTTACTTACCCAGACGCCTCCCCAGAAGGGAAAGCCTCCGTAGAACGAGATCGCTGTGTAGTGCCCTGAGAGGACGGTGGCCATGATGGAGCCGAGGCCCACGTGGATCAGGCCAATCAGGATCTGGATGGCCTGTCAGGAGAGCCACAAGCTGAAGCCCTGGTTTCTGAGGCTGGATCCTGCCTTCCCTTTGTGCCTCCTTTTTATTTTCATAAATCGTTTGTTTTCCTGGTCTAACAAGTAATATGAAAAGTAGAAAAATGAAATGAAAACTTCCCACAATTACCCTCCGCTCAGGGGAAACACCCCACTTACGTTTTCGTATCTAGCCTCCCGTGATTCTTTTCAAATATATATTCCGAGAACCCAAGATGGCTCTGTACATTTAACATCTTATCGTGAACACAGCTGCATGGCAGTAAGCGTTCTTCAAACATATTTTTTAAAAGGCTGCCTGATTCCATCTTGGGATGTTTTGGGGAGTAGTTGGAACAGAGATACTGAACAGGTAAGATTGTCCCCCCTTTTTCCCTGTTATAAATAATACTATCATGAACATCCTTGTAGATAAGTCTTTGTGTTCATCTCTTATTTCTTTAGGATGTTTTTAGGGATTGAATTGTGTGCGTCTCTCCCTCACCAAATTAATATATTAGAATTCTAACCCCCAGGGCCCGAGAATGTGACCTCATCTGGAATTAGGGTGGTTGTGGATGTGATTAGGTAATCCGATGTATACTGGAGTAGGGTGGGTGCCTCATCCTACATGATTGCGGTCCTTTTCAAAAGACAGATACGAAGAGACACACAAGCACACAGAATTCCATGTGTGCCAAGATCGGCACTGTGCTTCCACAAGCCAAGGAACCACCAGAAGCTGGGAGAGAGGCTGGGGGAGACCTTCCCCTGGTGCCTTCACAGGGAGCATGGCCCTGGGGACAACTTGATCGTGAACTTTTGGCTTCCGCAACCGTGAGACAACTTCTGTTGTCCAAAGCCACCCAGTTTGTGGTACTCTGTTATGGGAGCCCTAGGAAACTAATATAGATATATTCCTGCACAAGTGGTATTTGGACATATACATAGATATATTAGGTATGTATATGTCTCTGTGTATACACTACAAATATGGCGGCACACACAAATATATTATTTCCTCAAATTTGTACAAATGGTAACAGACTATACACAGACTATTTTTTCTTTCCTTCAAGGATGTATCCTAGGCTAGGTCCATCTCATTACGCAAAAGCCTTCCTTGTTCTTTTTTATAGCTGTAGTACGTTCCATTCTTTGAATAATACATCGATGTAACCGGGATATATTGATGGATATTTTGGCTCTTCCCATTCTGTTGTCCACACAAACCGTGCTGCAGTTAATAAGCTCATCCACATCGCAATTCTTGTGTGCACGGGCGTATCTGCAGGACAGTCTCAGAAATGGAATTATCGGGCATTTGGTAAATTTGGAGGATACAAATTGCCCTCCACACAGGCTGAATCGACTGACCCTCGCATTAGGCCCTGAGCTCAGGCTGCCTGGGTCGGAATCCGTGGTTGTCATCTTTCAGCTGTGCAGTGAAATGTGCCCCTGCTGGTCCCGCCCAGGATGGCCTTGCAGGGGGAAAACCATTGTGAAGTGCTATTTTGTTGGCTGTCTAACCTGATTTTTCCCCCCCTAATGGCCAAAGATTCCATCCGAGAAAGCTGGGTTTAGGCTCCACCTAGTGGCTTGATACACCCACTTCCTTCCAGAGGCCACGTGGATCGACATGTACTCTTGCAACAGGACCAACATTCCAGTTTACCACTTTTTTGTGGCTTTGCTTCCTCTTTCTTAAAGTGCCTAAGGCAGAAATTACAAGGCCCCACACTGAGACCCTGGTGATGTCGCACAGCTGAGATTTCTAGTAGATCTGGGTTTGGCAAGGCCGGATCAGCTCCTACCCCGCCTCCTGGATTTGAAGTTTCCGTATTTCCAAGCCTCCCACTTGGTCCGACTCCAGCCAGGGACCCCCGGCCTGCAGAGTGAAATGTCACTTACCCCTAAGACTTTGCCCTCTTTCAAGGCTCTCTGGGCAGGTTGCTCAGTTACAGATGACTTCAAACCAGGGGGGTTCACAGGAATGAGGTGGACTTGGGGCTGGTTGCTGGGATACGGGGGCACCTGACACATGCCTCCTTGGATCTCAGGATACCCGTTGGGGGGTGCCGCCACAAACATGGAATTGGCCATGGGTCCTGCTGAAGCCATCGGGTTCCTGCTGCTAAAGAAATGTGATGAATATAAATGTGATAGGGGCGCCCGGGTGGCTCAGTCGGTTAAGCGTCCGACTTCGGCTCAGGTCATGATCTCGTGGTCTGTGAATTTGAGTTCCACATCTACCCCTGCGTTGGGATTCTCTCTCTCTCTCCCCCCTCTCTCTGCTCCTCCCCCATTTGTGCATGCGCGTGCTCTCTCTCTCTCAAAATAATAAACTTAAAAAAAAAAGAATACATGTGATAAACTCATCTTTTTAAAAATTAAAAAAAGATGTTTATTTATTTTTGAGAGAGAGAGAGAGAGAGAGACAGAGTGCAAGTGGATGAGAGGCAGAGAGAGAGGGAGACACACAGCAGCCGAAGCAGGCTCCAGGCTCTGAGCTAACAGCACAGAGCCTGTTGCAGGATGTGGGGGCTCAAACCCCCGAACCATGAGATCATGACCTGAGCCGAAGTCGGAGGTTTACCCAACTGGGCCACCCTGGCGCCCCTAGACTCATCTTTCACGTAAGCACTAATGTTTGCATTAAAAAAGGACTTTTGCCTCTAGTAGCTCATTTGAGCATCTTAACCACTGATGAATGTATTAATCCTGCTTTAAAGATAATATCAGGTACCAGTTACGGGGCTCTTATATAAATGGCCAGGCAGTCAGCACTTTCCAAACACGTTTCCTTTAATCCTTAAAACACCAGACCAGCTTTATAGGTGAGAAAACTAAGGCTCAAAGGAGCTAAATGCTGCCAGAAGGCGAGAGCTGTGTTTTTTTCGTTTTCGAATCTCTTATAAAGCTTAGCATGGAGTCATACCGTCTGATGACAAAACTTTAGAGGTGGAAAGTCTCTTGGAGAACACTGAGTCCAATTCTCTCAATTTCTGGAAAGGGATACTGAGGCTGGGGGAGTGGACATGTATCCCCCAAGGTCCCAGTCACATAAATATTGGTTAAATGGAGAGCATACTCTTCAGAGGAAGCCCTGTTGTTAGTGTGGTGTCTATTCATTGCATGTCTCACGCTGCTCAGTTTTCTGGGCCACTTACAAATTCTGGTCTGGTTTTTAAAATTTCTTTAATTTTTTCGGAGCAGACACCCCCCCCCCCCCAAAATGTTTGTGCAATAAACCCTGCTGCATGCTCTACCCCACACCCAGATTCGTCGTGTCTTGTTTGGCAGAAAGATCTTATCACCATCCCTCCATTAGCCATAAAAACCATTGGACGGACGACACATACTCACTTTGCTCTGCTGGCGGCTAAGTCTCTCTTGCTCCTGTTCCCAACTCTTTGCTGTAGGCAACCTGATTTCCCGAGAGAATGAACACACGAGGCTCGGTTGAGTGATAATGTTTAGAAAGATCTAAAGTCCCTCTCAATTTTCTCCCAGGTGCAGGCCAGGTCACCAGCTGCTTAGAGCTCAGCCTCCCGCCCCCGGTGTTTGCTTCCGGTTTCGGTCAAGGAGCCAATTAAACGCAATTCAACCGGCCAAGTGTTTAAATGGTATCTGTGCGGAGAAGAAAGGGTTGTTTTTGGTGCTCTGGGAAACACAGAGCGAGCTGGGCACTCAGGGATCATGTACATGGCTGTAGCACAAGACAGAATGACCTAGATGCTACAGTTAATTACAGTTGGAGAAACAAGAGTCCCCAAAGGAGAACAGAGGAGAAACTCACTTGCTGGACTTGAGAACAGGGAAGACTCCAAACAGAAGGTGGAATTTTGAAATCGATAAATGGCATGAGAGAAGGGGAGTCACAGCATGTGAAATGAGGATTGCAATGAACTTCAGTCTATTTTCATCTAAGCCAGAGCCTACAGGAAATCAGAAAACACCTGGGGTATATCCATGATGCACATCGTGTGACTTGCATGAAATGTAAATGTACAAGAACTGCTGTACTAGGCAATGAGTATCTTGATGGAATAGTTAGCTCATCGTGTTCACCTTTGTCTTCCTACTGGCGTATAATAGGGACTCAGCAAATGCTTATTGAATGAACGAATGAACAAATGAGGTCGATGAGATGGCTAGAACTTTGTAAAATGGTCAACAGAAAGGCCGCTATTGCAGACAGGGAGCATGGAGGGCAAAGGCGTGGAAGAGAGGGGTGGAGGACAGATTCTGGGGGTGGCTGAGAGTGGCAGAAACGTTTTGTGGGAGAAAGGACATTGAAAGTCGTGCGGATGAAAAGGTAGACAGAGCGAAACTTCATGTCTTTACCCATTTTTCTATCAGATTTCTGGACCCTTGTCCTTCTGTGTTTAAGAGTCCTTTATAGGGGCACCTGGGTGGCTCAGTCAGTTGAGCATCTGACTTCGGCGTGGGTTGTGATCTCACGGTTCGTGAGCTCGAGCCCCATATTGGGCCTGCTGCTGTCACTGCAGAGCCTGCTTCGGATCCTCTGTCCCCCTCTCACTGCCCCTCCCCTGCTTGAGCTTTGTTCAAAAATAAATAAAACAGGGGCGCCTGGGTGGCGCAGTCGGTTAAGCCTCCGACTTCAGCCAGGTCACGATCTCGCGGTCCGTGAGTTCGAGCCCTGCGTAGGGCTCTGGGCTGATGGCTCAGAGCCTGGAGCCTGTTTCTGATTCTGTGTCTCCCTCTCTCTCTGCCCCTCCCCCGTTCATCCTCTGTCTGTCTCTGTCCCAAAAATAAATAAACTTTAAAAATAAAATAAAATAAAATAAAATAAAATAAAACATTAAAAAAAAGAGTCCTTTATATATTTCAGGATATTAACACTTCATCCGGGATATCTTTACTCCAAATTACTCTACTATCTTTTGATTTTTATGGTGGCTTTTAATTATGTACACTTAAAAAATTTCTGTAGCGGCACATGAAAAAATGCTCAACGTCACTCCTCATCAGGGAAATA